TGTCCAAACTTACTGCAAATTCGTTTTTACTTATTTGACAAATTTTTAACGGAGATGCTTCAAGATTTAGCCGATCTTTTATGGATTCTGAGGACAAATCAATGAGCTTTAATGTTTTATTGTCATAGTCAGCTAGAAATAATAGTCCATCATCTGTGAAACATGAACCAGTAACATAACATGTCTTCCTATCATTTTGATGTTTGATGTTGACTTGTTTCTTGCTTTTCATAACATACATTTTCTCTCTTATATTTTCAGTAGTACTCACTGAAATTAATCCAAATGCCTTGAAGTCTTTTAAGGCATCCTTTTTTGTGGAATCAGCAATGAATTCAACTTTAACATCTGATGAATTTGTCACAAACTCTGCCTCTGCTTCATTAGCTTCAATGATTTGTTTCCGAGAAGTTTTCACAGCGACAAACTCCTGTGCTTTATTCCCAAATGACTTTGTTAGTTTTTGTGATGAAAGTTTGAGTTCATCAATATGTCTATGTAAGTTTTTTATCTCGTTCTCTAGTTTCTCTTTGCCATTTTTGTACTTTTCCTCTAAAGTTTTTAATGTCACCTTTTCAAGTGTATCAAGTATTACCTCCATTTCTTTTCTGAATTGTCTTATTGACTCTGTTGCTTTCTCCTTCTGTACATTGAGTTCTTTGATAAGAAGTTTCTTTGCTCTCTCAGCCTCCTCAATTTTAGTTTTTATACGAATCAGCTCAATATTTGTTTTATCAGCATCAATCTCCTTACACAAGTCATCGACTTCATCTGGAATCGAATGTATATGTTGGCACGTTCTGAAAATTTTAATATAAAAAACACTAAAATTATGAATATGATTTGTGGTATTTGTTAAAGACACATTTAACTTTATAAATCATTGTATTCATGCTGCCGTGTTACAGTTTACACAATTTTATTTATCGGCCATACATGTAAAGGGGCGTCCGTGGTCGAGTGGTAAAGGTCGTTGACATCAAACCACTTGCCCCTTTGAATCCCGACAGGGACTTTGGATTCTTTCATGTGAGGAAGCTATCCAGCTAGCTTACGGAATGTTGGTGGTTCCACTCAGGTGCCAAGGGCACCTGAGGTCTTCCTTCGCCAGTAAAGCTGGAACGTCGTCAAATGACATACACTGTGTCGGTGTGATGTAAAACCCACTCATTGAATCAAACAAACAAACGTGCATGTAAAGCTTAATTGCCTTATTTTGCTTCTTTTGCATTTTGGCAAAATAGAAGTACAGCTACTATAGTGAGTAAGTATTTTGTCACAATACCCCTTTCTTTACATTTTGCTTTCTTTATTACAAATAATATCAAATTGAAGGCTATTTCTTCTGGTGAAGTATCACATGTTCTAAATCCATAATTTAAACATTATAAAACACACGTTTTTTCTTACTATAAAAGAAAAACAATGTTTGTGAGGCATGCTGTGCTCTTTAGATTACAGACTACCCCGGTAATACATGTATATCATCTTAAGCATGTTTAATATTGAGAAATTGATATTAGGAATTATTCCGAGGCAGTTTGCTGTGTTACTTAGGTAACATGGCATTTGAAATGTCTGTTTATTCCTAGAATTCACTTTATATTTTTACTATTTAATTTTTGTGAAGCCTGCTTGTCACAATGGCAACTCGGTGTTACAATGTGCATGTGTGTGTGCATCTGTTGGTGGATGCGTCGGTCCAGATTATGCTTGTCCATTAGTAGGCAAAATTTAAAATAACTTATCTCAAATGTTCACAATAATTTAATAGTATGTAGCGCGTATTAACTCTGTGGCTATGTCAAATGTCAAGGTCAAATGCAAGAAAAAATAGTCTCAAACAGCTTGTCTGCACCATGACTTGATCTCTAGCAGGTGAAATTTAAAGTAACCTGGCAAAAATGTGCAAGGTAAATGTGACAGCAGGCTCAACATATCGCCCTTGGGCATCTAGTTTGTTATATAATGGTCCAGATATCTTCACTAAAACTTGATCTCATGTGAACTAAACCAATAACTGGATGAAAGGAGCTTATATGATGTGTTTTTATGTTTTCTACAAGTTTGCAAAATAATAATAACAAAGATATGAATTGTCTTTAATTCAGTTTCAGGGAATGTACATTGATAGAAAAATACAGCTGTCTAAACTTTTAATTTCAATTCAATTAAATACAATAATTAAAAAAAAATCAAACCTGTGTTTTATAGCTATACAAGTCGCACATGCTACATCATCGTGGTCAGCACAATACATATCTAGCAGCTCGCTTTTATGAACTTCACATTTTTCAACTGGAAAACTTGGCAACGATTTCTGTAAGCTAACTGTGTTGAAACTTGACTTGTCTATAAACTGATGCGTGCTCATTGCAGGAAACATTTTGTGCAAGTCTGTACATGGTGTACAGTAATAATCCTGACATTCCACACAATAAATATCCGCCTCTTTTTTGATATTCTTCTTTTCACATAAACAACATTTAAAATTGATAAATTCATCTGATCCAACACCTCCGTCCGCCATTTTCAACAATGTCGTTTTTTACTTCCCATTTACTACAAACACATAACAGAGGTTATTGATTATCAGTTAAACAAGTTTATATTCTTAATGTCAAACTGTTATTTTATTCAGAGGTGATATTTAAAGTATGGTAATACTTTCTTATTTAAATCATCCTAATTTTATTTATCTAAATAGATCTACTGATAGCATTATCATTGTACCTTGTATGGACTTTGTTATTTGAGATAGTTATAAATCATGTACATGTATAATAAATGTAATATGAAAAAATTAGGTCACTAAAGAAAGGTAGGTACTTAAAATTAAATCACAATGCAATGAATTATTTCACCGTTTGTATATTAATTTAAGTATACTAACAGAAAACGCTATGTGTGTCATGTAGAATAAATGTTTGTATTTACAAAAACATTCATTTAAAGCACTAAGTGAGAAAAAATTTTTAACAGTCATTTAAGGTAGTTAGGTACAATTCAAACATAATCTATTATATTACTGTGTATTGATCTTTGTAACCATATCGTCACCTTTAGTGCAGTAACAGGTTAAGTCTTTTGGAATTTTAATACGAGTTAACCGGTTATATAACTTAGGAGACGATATAATTCTTTATTTGACATAGAAGCCCTGGTTTATCTGTTGTCCGACAATCTATTTTTAAGTAGCAGTGTTTAATATGATGTTTAATCTTAAATGTTTTCATTTACATTGATTATTTTTGGCAATATTGACCCGAGACATTTGAATATTCAATGACCTTTTGTTGGTAATTGTCGAATTCCGAAGTGAATCTTACGGATTTTAAAGTATGACATAAAGGTATACATAGTTTACTATACCTTATTGACAACACATGCATAACTACCTTCGGTGATAAGGAGTAAAAACTTAAAATTTCTAACTGAATGTTGAAGGTTCGAATACCCATGATCTATCTATCTCACATTAATGTTATAACCCTCGCGCGACTACGACATGATGCTGAGTATTTTTATTTCCAGTAATACTTGTATATATAATGATATATGTTGCTTATAGCAAATTTCAAATATGATGATGTAGAGGATCTCATGCTTTAACCAGGTATATGCTAAGAAAATAATGATGATAAAAACTTCCTTGACGGATAACTTTTCACTTTTATGCATGAATCAAGGGCCAACATTGTGTTTTCCACATTTCGTATAAACAGTTTAAGTCCTGGGTGGTGTTTTGAGTAGCATGGGAGTCTAAGCTGCCTTACACTTTTCAAGAGACGCGTTGGCCATGCATGGTAATTAACCACAATGGCCATGCATTACAATTAATAATTTTAATCATTACTTACAGGTAAAGGGAAGTCACATGTTATAGTACTCTGTCAATATAGATACAGTTTAATTAAAATTAAAGGCAACACCATCTTTAATTATATTAGTTACACAATAACAGCATGACGTTTCATGCAATTATGCCTTTATCAAACAAATCGCAATCATTTTCTAATAATTTTTTGTCGACATCATAACTTTGAGACGGTCCCTCCAAGACCGAATTATTTGGTAATCAGGATTATCGTTATTTACGATCAATATGACACACTTTCGTAACATACCAGCCTTATTGTTAAGTACACGAAACTAATATGATATATCTGAGATAAACATGGAAAGGTTTAATACGAAATACAGGTTTAAAACTTTAAATAGTTAAAAAGTAACTCACTTCCTCATCAGAAGATGATTGCTTCGCCATGTTGGATTTGGTTTATGAAGAATTGTGGGTAGAAGTCGTAGGACAGGGCGGACCGTGGGAGGACAGGGCGGACCGTACGAGAGATATAACTATCGATATGCATGCGGTTTTTAAATGCTTTTGTATATATGGTTGCCATTACGTTTTCGTACAAATGTCTGTTAATAAATAAGTAATGGGTAATAAAGTACACGTCGGGAGAAAACCAACTTCTATTTTTATAACTGCCCTCCTTAACGAAACCTTAAACTGGTCGGGTGAAATGTAAGTTTTCTAGCGTAATGGTTGTGATATAGTGGGTGATATGATATATTTTTCATTTTTTCGGCTAAGATATTTATAATAGTTTCTTTTTGTGAAAATTTGATAAAAAAATTTTTGGGTCCATTTTACCGTACGGACCTCAGTGGGGCTCCTTTAATGAAACATTACTTTTCATATATTTTTGTTTTAATTACATTTTGTGAAACTTGACTACTAAGTTTGTGTACATGCCAATCACCTATTGTACGACTGTAGTCACTGTACAAATTAAAGTTATGAAAATTAACATATACATGTATATGTTATGATATAAGTTATGATTTTTTCTAATAAAAAGACGCAGGAAATTAAAGAAATGATTCATCTACTAATGCTACATATGATTAGGAAAAAATATTTTTTTGAGGATTCGAACTTGCAACTTCGCGATTGCTATGGTATCGTACTTACCACTAGGCCATTTAGACGTTAGTATAAAACAAAGTATCGAGAACTTTCCTATCATTTGAAAATCAGTTAGTAAATCGTAATAAGTTAAGGAGACTAAAGAAAAGGCTTCCAAAGGGGCCTCCGTGGCCGAGTGGTTAAGGTCGCTGACTTGAGATCACAGGTCCCTCACCGCTGTAGGTTCGATCCTTACTCGGGTCGAAATTTTTCATGTGAGGAAGCCATCCAGCTGGCTTACGGAAGGTAGGTGGTTCTAACACCCAGGTGTCCTCTCGTGCCTGAAATAATGCCCGGAGGGGAACCTGGGGTCTTCCTCCACCAATAAAGCTGGAAAAAATCAACGAAAAATCTCGGCCCGACTTGAGTGTACGGTCGCCCATATGGGCTTTCCGGCGGCGATCTTAAATAAACGCATTAAAAAAATGCTTCCAAATTAGTCTCAGGTCATTATTGCCAAACAATATATTTTGATTTGTTACCTGTGTTAACGAACATAGCTAGAGTCAATTGGATTTCTTTATGTGTTCCATTTTAATACAAGATCTAAAAACCTTGGAATAGGTTGCCTATAAGGAAGCACCTGTTTTGTATATGTATGAGTAATTAATGTTCAGATGTTATGTCCATTTGTTTACAAACACAGTACGCTATAAATTTGTCTTAGAATTTATTTCATTAACCTAAAAAATATCAGTATTTGTTAAGCAGGCGAGTCTTATAACAGGTTAATAATGACTTGACTTGAATAAAACAGGTGTTTTTTTGTGTTGCTAGCTACATGCAGAAAAGCTTGTCTGGACTACTCCTCAGAAACTGCTGGTGCAATTTCATACAAACTTTACAGGAATGATCAATACCAAGCATATATGTGTATAGTATCACCAACTTTACAGGAATGATCCAGTACTTAAGCATATTACACGGGTTTTTCTAGTTGAATTATTTTATCTGGGTCATTACCCTAGAATAGTAAGGACATTAATTTTTCTCGTTCGTGATTTTTATGTCTCCTGCTACACTGTGAGTAACTATGACATGCATTGGGCTATCATGGGTCAACGCATGGAATCACTGTTCGCTCTTGTGTTTCTATATTACTAAATTAAGTCAAAATGAAAACAAATGGAGTCTGAGTGAGTAAGCACTTTTGTTAAAAAGCCAATGATCACAATTTGGGACTAAATCATATTTTCTAGAAAAAGCAAGTTATGTAAAGATCAATGGCAACTATGTTGTTATTTCCTCAAGTATTTTCTATTGCTCCTCATTATTTTTCAGTGGAGAATTTTGTTGTCATGGTTTGTTCTTTTTTTTTCCTTCTCTCTCTTTTCACAGTTAACTGTTCCTCATAATACTATCCCGTATTGGTAAATGCCTCAGATATTTATGTTTTAATTTAGTTAAAGGAATAGGAATGGATGGATTGATGTCTGTCTAATATAAATATTCAACATTAAAAAAGAGGAACCATGACAGTTTTCCTATTGACATCAACCCTATAAGAGAGAAATTCGTGTTTTAAGACACTATTTTTTACTTGAGAAATAAGTTCATGGGCGCCGCCATTTTGGCGTTCTGTCATTCTCGCGAGACAGACGAGACCGAGATTGTGACGTGTAATACCCACTTCCGGTATAGGTGTATACGCTGGTACAACTGAAATATATCTTGATGAAGAACTTATTAATTTTATTGCGTACATTATATATTATTTATGAAAACATCATATGGAACTGAATTGCTTTAATTAATTAATTGAAGACGCCGCGACATTAATTATTATTTCTCCGATATTCAAGCTTGCTGATGATCCCACCACATGATTTAAACAATGACTGCTTAATTTTCAAAGATAAACCATAAATTTAATTTGGGTACTAAGAGAAACTTCTTCAAATTGACGATATATCCTTTTATTTTGTACTTAATTTTCGCTAGACAAGCTGTCCAAATAGGGTACATCGTCGGTCCTGTATCTTTTTTTCAGGTAAAATACCAACTAAATCCAATATATATCTACTTACCAAATTCCTTTTCCCGACAGATACGCATTTCTACTACCGTAAATCTAATCCAATAAAACAAAAAAATCATAACTCTACTTAATATTTAAAATGATTATTGGTAACTGAAAAAAATGTGTTGCTATTTTATGACGTGCTGTAATTTACTACAGTATAATTTGACAGGTGTGTAATAGTTATAGTTCAGATTTTAAAAAATATGGAATTTATTGCAAGCGCAGCGTAGCGGAGCGCAGCAATAAGTTCTATATTTTTTAAAATATGAACTATAACTGGCTTACCGTTTGACCCACTTTCGTGGCATAAGTCACGCACGAATTGTCGGTACTGCGTTTGATGCAATACGAGTCCCGCCCTTACTCACGGTGTCAAGGGTATACGCATCATTTTTCCGCGTACCGCCGATAATTTGTCATCCTATGCGCAACACCGTATCATTCTTACGTAATCTTCTGAAAAGTGCAAGAGGTCAATTCAAAAATGCGAAAATTTCTTACTAAAATTGATTTTATTTAGAGAGTTTGCATACATCACGGAAGTTTTGAATCATTCATCTATGTGTGCAAAACATTTTGTAACAATATTTGTCTGTTATAACCCGAAACTAATGAAAACACTTTTATACATGTGAAACATTTGTGATCTTGAAGCAAACATTTTTTTATCCTTTTCCGAAAGTAAAGCTGTCGGAAGAAGTATAATAATTCAAATGATAGCAAAAGAATTGACCCGAGCTGATAACATACCAATTTTATACAAATAATGCAAAATAATGTTGTGAAATCAAGAAAACTTTGATAAACATGGTACCGCATCATGCATGTAATTTTTATTGTAGGATTGACAAGAAGAGGTAGATGTTGGCTATCGGTTAGGGTAAGCGGGGCAGTGGATTACCTGGGCCTGGAAGCAATCTGGACCTCTACAGTTGTTTTTAAAGATAATTTCTTGTTAAAAATGTATGTTTTCGTAGCAGTTGCATTTTATGTCTTTTGTGAGGTTGAACTTTTCTTTGGACTAGGGAATTGCATAATATTAGCAGATTTCAGTAATCGAAATTTTACTCTCAAATTTGTTAATACATCACACAAGCAAGTCAAAGCTCATATTTCTAAAATGGTATTTCTTTTTTACATTTGAATGTTAGTTACTTAACTAATTGACTTGGCACATAACGTACGCATGTTAAGGTGGCAACTATGTATGGTGGCTGATTTGGTACATTGCGCGTTTCGTTGTCGATAGTGACGACGCAACATATATCGTTTTCGCCTTTTCGTCTTGTCGCTAGCGACAATACCAAACGGAGCGTTGTCGCGCTGTTGTCTTGTTGTCCTGTCTCTAGCGCGGCACCCAAAACGGCGCGTTGTCGTGCGGCGTGTTGTCGCGATGTCACATTGTCGCTCGGTTCAAATTATAGGATTGGCTTATAAGCCAGCGACAGAGCGACATCGCGCCGCACGGCAACGCAGTTTGGCGTGCCGCGCTAGAAACAGGACCACAAGACGACAGCGCGTCGTTTGGCGCTTTGTCGTGTTGTCGCTAGCGCCAGGACGACAAGACGAAAGTAGGACAACGCGATGTCGCCCTGTCCCTTGGCTTATATTAAGCCAATTCTTCGATTTGAACCGAGCGACAATATGACATCTACGGAATGCCGTTAGGGCCATTGCCTATGAATGTGTTGATCTGAAACGCGATAGTCGATAGGACGATGGTGAAAACGCGAAATCACGAAACTACGATGGTGAAAATGCGAAAGCACGATGATGAAAACGCGAAAGTACGATGATGAAAACGCGACAGTACGATACTACGATGATGAAAGCGCGATAAACTATCGTGTTTTCATCATCGTAGTATCGTACTGTCGCGATTTCATCATCGTACTATCGCGTTTTCATCATCGTGCTTTCGCGTTTTCACCATCGTAGTTTCGTGATTTCGCGTTTTCATCATCGTACTGTCGTGTTTTCATCATCGTACTATCGCGTTTTCACCATCGTACTATCGCGTTTTCACCATCGTACTATCGCGTTTTCATCATCGTACTGTCGTGTTTTCATCATCGTACTATCGCGTTTTCACCATCGTACTGTCGTTATTTCATCATCGTACTATCGCATTTTCATCATCGTACTATCGCGTTTTCACCATCGTAGTTTCGTGATTTCGTGTTTTCACCATCGTACTTTCGACTATCGCGTTTCAGATTAACACATTCATAGGCGATGGCCCTAACGGCATTCCGTAGACATCGCGACAACACGCCGCACTACAACGCACCGGTTCGCTAGCGCCAACACGACGCACAAAGGTGTTCCAAATCAGCCACAATAGTAAGAAGACGCTTTTAAATAACCGTTACTTTCCACATGGATTAAGTGCAGTTGAAATATACGGTGTTCTTCCTGGGACAATTAAAGGACTGCTATTGACATGCTCGATTTTTTCTTGAAGTTTTGTCCGCCTTTCTGTATTTTTATAGATAAAGTAGCAAGATTTTACATTATCGCAAAATACTTTTCGCGCCATTCAACATTGAATATGTCGAATAGTTGAACTTTAAACAAGAGATTTAGTCAATCTTAACAGGCGATATAAAACTGCCTAAAACTGGACACTATAGAAACCGATGGACAGTAGTGCGCATCTCATGAAAGTATCCAGTTTATCGAGAAATTGGATGGCCATTTCCAGGACCAAAGTAACTGATGATTTTAGCATTGACAAAACTAACAGTTGTTCGTTGGAAGATGGTACAGCACTTAGTTTTTTTTATATCGTCTGACATTCTATAAAAAAACAACATTAACGTGACATTTACTGTACCCACCGGCCCACACATCAAACAATCAACTGCCATAAACGGCTGAACATTGCGTTAAGGTAAGCATGTGAATAAGGAAACTACTAAATTTGGGGTCCAAAACGTAATCCATATAACATTGACGCAAAACAAGTTAGAGACGATTTCAATGTTGACTGACATACTCGATTTTAGTAAATTTGACATTCTGCTAATTGATGACAATTTCAGATTTTTGCTCAAGGAAACATGGCGCCTCGACAAGCGATGCCAGAATTCCAAGTCCGCCGTTTCAGTCCTTTGCTAGAAGAAATTACATCTGCCACAAGTAATTACCTTTGCCAAAAGTACTTACCTTTGCTACAAGTTATTACCTTTGCCACATAGAAGTCTCTGCTTCGATTCCTTACTCTTCCAATGTATTTACTAAAATTCTTTAGTTATAACAATATTTTATTCATAAACATTTCATTTACATGATAATTGACAAATATTAAATTGCACGGATGAATTTTTTTAGAAACTCTCTCCGTAAGCACTATCTCAAAGAGTATGTATAAAATGGTAACAATTGTACATGTATATGCGTATTTGTGTTAAATATGCATAACATTTTCACTATAAACTTGCTTCTTTACATGCATAATAAAGTCAGCAATATGCACTCAGGCTGTCCTAATCGAACCGATCTTAATAATAAAGTAAAGACTCAGATTCTTTCGAATGTGACCGTGGTCCCATGTGTTTACGCCGGACACACAAAGAACCAGGTTTGCTTCTAGAACTGACAAGTCTTTATGCATTTTCCTCGGGTTTGTAAATAATTAATATACATCTACATGCATCGCCCAGATTGACAACAATAAATAAATACAAATAAGATTATTCAGCATTAGGTTAATCATCATAATGCCATGCAAGTCTAGCGCTAATGTATACGGTGCCCAAATTTTAGGTGCGGACCCATGATACGGTACCAAGAACTCGGTCAGTTGTCACGCTTTTATGACTTTTTTAAGAAATTAAACAGCTTAAATTTGTGTGCAATATTTTTTTGTATACATATCTTTGATGCTTACAGTTATATCAAATAAATATTTTTGATTGACAACATAATTTTCTCCTTTTAAAAGTTTTCAAAATGATCATTTTTCCCAAGCCAGCTCTAGCTGTTTTCATTAAAACAAAGAAATCGTACAAGTCTTTGATAAAAACTAGATGAAGACATAAGCTTCAATGATCATAATATTCCGTAGACACACTTTTATGAATACACTTGCTTCAAAAGTGTGATTTTCAGGTCGTTTTCCATCATGCATGTTGTGTTTCAGTGTTTGTTTTGTCTAAAATGATACGGTGCTGCACGCAGGATGATAAATTATCGACGGTACGCGGAAAAATGATGCGTATACCCTTGACACCGTGTTACTAGTATAGATTGACAGGCCAACACATGGTCGGAGTGTTACAAAGCCTTGCGGTTTTATGTATTTTTACATCATTAGTCATCATGGAGCAATCCTGCGATCAGATTGTGTTTGACATAATGAATATAGCAAGAATCATATTTTTTTTAACCATTTCATGTGGTCACGGTTGCTTGATATTGATACGCAGGTTTTATATGCAGACACAAGCAACAAAAGACAATAGCTCAGGTAAATATTTTATGAAAAATTATTCTCGAATTCTCTTCATCATTATCTGAATGAAAATACAAATTGTACATGACCAGCGCGCAGCTTTTCCACGCCCAACTAGTATCGAACCTCAAAGTAGATGACGTAAATTATTCAAACATAACATGGTTAATCTGCCTTAAATGCCGTTGCAATCATTGAAAATCATATTTAAGTGATTTCTTTGATATTTGCATTTTGCAGGCCGATTTGAAAAGCTTTTGTCATCTGATGAAACAGAAATACAGTGCCCAATAATACAACGAAAAACAACAACTGGACAGTGCACGGCTGGAGGGAGTTGGCTGAAAACCGCAACCTACAACCGGAGACTAAGCAAGAGCCTGGTTATCCTATTCCCGATCAAACAGAGCAGTTCTGTTCATGTGCAAAAAATGGATTTTTGGTCGCAACAATTCATCTGTGAAATTGAAAGGAAAAATGGAGAATTCTATCCTCCAACAACTTTACTAAACATTGCTGCAAGGTTAAAAGGGTATCTTCGAAATGAAGAATCCATGCACGTGAACTTTGTTAAAACTGAAGATTCTTTTTTTTTAACTTCGCAGAATATTGGATCCACGCATGCGCGAGTTGTCTATAACGAGGGTATATGGGTCGAAGTCAACTGTTAAAAAAGTGGAGTTTTAACAAAATGTGGAAAAAAAAGTTTGTCATGTAATTATGAAAAATGGATATTCTGTATGTTTTTTTAAGATATGTATTAGTTTCGAACTTTGAGATTTCTCTAATTGAATTATTCCATGTCTATGATTTTCAGTGATCAGCCACAAACTGTTTTCTAATGTTTGAATTATAACCATGGTACTGTTTCAATAATTTTTGTACATGTAAAAGCTTGGATTTATAAATAACCGTATGAAAAATGCTTTCTTATTTGTTTACTTTATTCGCATGCCACATTCATTGTCTAATGTTAAACTCCGCCCATATCCATAACGTCATATTTGTCAGATATCACGTCAATACCTGTTAAAATAAGTCAACTTATTTTTCACATACACCAGTCCCAGTATAGTGTATGCAAAATATTTCAAATAAATTGGAGCATTTGATTGGATAAGAAAGTGGGACAAACGGTAAGGAACTTAATTCCCCCTAAGGTCATTCAGTTCACTGATGAAGCGTAAAAAAATAGATGTCTATTTCGTCATTAGAATATTTGACAAGGGTGATTAACCAATCAGGGCAACATTGTGCATGATCAAAAGGTCTGTCGGCACAGAGGCATACAAGGAGCAATAAAAATCGTTAGTACACAGTGTGACAGGAGCATTTGGTGCAAATTAGGAACAATTAAAATGGACAATGCGCAGTATTAGACATAAGTAGTAAGAACCAGCAATTGTGTGAATAAATAATGCAAATAAGACTTTTTAGCAGCCAATAAAAATGATTTGCCTGCAGTTAATATTAAGCTATGATTACGATGCGCAGCATCATACGTTGACAGACATGTTAACAATTTACTTTTCAAAAGAGTTGCTTATATTTTTGAAATGTGTACATCAATTATAACATATGTTCACACCTTTAAATTTGAAAGTCAGAATCAAACTGCAAAAATTTAATTATATGTACTATTAAGAACACGTTTTAGTAGGGTTTTTATATTGGAAGTGGCTAGCGTACGGGCCCGTACGGCTAGCCAAAAGTTTTAGCCGTACGTGAGTCACGTACGACTAGCAAGGACACGCTGTATTGGCTAGCCGTACGGCTTTTTTCAAAATTTTATGGAAGTCGAAAATGCATATGTTATTTTATGACTTTAAGCGAGGATTTTAACCAAGAAACAGCATTAATTGTCTTTGGATGTTAACTTTTTAGAGATTAATCGCTTTGATCGCTATATATATATCGATCTTTGTCAACGCAAGATGTCGAGAAAAAAAAAAGCCTTTGCTTGCATTTACACCAATTGAAATAGTTTACAAAATTTTGATAATAATCCTTTTTTGTTTCATTAAGTTTAATTTTCGACACCTTTTATATGAAAACAACAAACACTGAAAATATTTGTTGTTAGGCTCTTGATAATTGCGACAATTACCGACGGTACTGTATAGAAGTTTGTCAATCAAGGAAAGTTTGCATGTTCCGTGAAAGGCATTCTAAAATTCTATTGTCAGTCCCTGGATAGGTTTTAATTAAGGCTGATTAATTGATTGACTGTGCTTTTATGTTCGATATTTATCTACAGATTTGAAAATTATATAATTATTTTTGCATTTCACCGTTTTTTTTTTTCATTCAATGTTCTTTTTATTTATTTATTCCACTCCGATCATTTTTTATTCGATCCATGAGCTTAAAATTAACAAAAATTATTTAATAATTCATACAAATAAAACAACAAATGATAAGCATGAAAATCAACAATTTTATAACATTCGACTTCCATATAATTTTGAAAAGTGCCGTACGGCTAGACAATACGTACAGTGCGTCCTGGCTAGTCGTTTGTGACTCACATACGGCTAGAACTTTTGACTAGCCGTACGTTTCTTTATTTTATATATTTTTTTTTTGATATTGTTACGTATTTTGAACCATAAAAAATCTCCTCTACACCTCCTGTGAAAATTAAATTGTCTGGTCATTAATATTTCCTTACGATTCAACTAGATTTATCATGAATCTAAAGATGTGGGGAAATGACATCACGCGCACCTGTTTTTATACGGCCAATACACAAACATGGCCGCGCTTACTGATTTGTAGAAATCGGTGATTTAGCGATTTAAATTTTGTTATCATTCGTTTAATATTATTATTTGGCGGCAGAAAATTTGCAGACTTATTATTTATAGTATTCTTTTTCTGAAATCAAGTTTTTATTCTAACCTTGTCTTTCCCTTTAATTTAATGATGTACATTTGTATACTGAAGGTGGGTTTTGAACTTTTCAGGTTGGTTGGTATTAAGGAAACTGAGGCTAATGATGCAGATTGAAAGATTGATGTTCCTTTATTCTATTCTCTTATTATACAGATGGTTTGTTTTTCTTCTCTTTTTTTTCAACTAAAAAAGAAACACGTATATTAAACGTGCACTATATAACAAGTCTTCGCTGATAGACTGTGAATTTAGTTTTCGTAACTCAGCTGTTCTATGAGCATTAGGAGATTTAAAGTGTCATAAATCATACAAAGGGTGCAGTGGGAATATGATTGGTTACCTAACTTACATTTGCCAACTTATGAAATTATTTGTGATGAAAGTAATAGAAATAGGCGTGACTTCCAAACCCAAACCAATTCCAGAAATTCCATTGCCCATATAATAGGAAAATCTCATTTTCAAATAATGTTCTTCATTGACATTAAATTGAGATCAATTGTTTGATCTAGACATATTGTGACTTATAGATAATCATACTTAAACTACCAGAATATTTAGCATAATATTCTGCATACATTTTAGTGAAGAAGGGTGTTGTAAGCAAAATCTATACTGCATGTCCCTAGCTTGAATGTCAGAGTCACTGTAAGTTTGTTTAAAATTGATATTTATTGAAAAGAGGGAATGGAATATACCATACGTTAGATATCCAAATTGATCGACACAATGGTTCGACTGCCACCGCCTATCAAGGCAGTAAAACTATTCATCATCAGACTTTCGATATATGCCAGATTCATCCAATTAAACTTTTTATTTTGGTGAAAAGTTCTCTAGATATTTCTATTGATCGCTTGGTTGTCATGTTTGTTGTGCAAAAACTTTATTGTGGCTCATTACTCAAGCACTTATTACAATTCACAATTGCAAATCAATGGGCTTTACTCATTAAGCAATATTGAAGATGTATGCCTCTTTTAAATTAAGAATTTTTGTCCAAATGGCTTATAAAATGAAAATGCTTTGAAAACAAACTATCAATGCTATCGAAACGAACCAGGTACTTTGAATGTGATGAAGCTACCTGGCTAGCTTACAGAATGTCGGTGGTTCTATTAGGTACCCACATGTGCCTGGCATAATGCACACCTGGCGTTCACCAATATAAAACATGACCTTATTAGTACGAGTATAACAACCCCCTCCCCCATTAAAAAAGAAAAGAAAGCATAACAAATACACAATATATTAGCAAAAAATCTTTATTTTAAATAAAAGTTTAATTTCATTCAAACAGTAACAGTTTAAAACTTTACAAACATAAGAAAGCTATGTACAGACTTCAATAAAAATGATTTTTTAAACAATTTTTTATACAAACCATTTATTCAGAAAATATCATGAACAACACATATATTGTTAACATATAAAATATGAATATAACGGTATAAGGCTTTGAGCCGAAGTAGTAAAATTTGAAATCAATAAAGATTTTGTATATTTATTTTACA